TCCCAATATATCCCATATATAATATACCCCTGAATGCTAGTCACGAACACATGTGTCACCGTCAAGATTTGGTTGCTCGATGCAAGCAGCTGTAGACCTGGGTTTGAGATTTCTGACTCGGCTTTCGGGACTTTCCTGTCCTATCTACTGCGGAGGCTCCACTCTACCTTCCCTTATTGCGGGGTTTGCTACTGGGTTGATTGTGGGCTCCATCTGTACTGCTTGGGCTCTGGTTTACCTGTGGTCGGGGTCTTTCCATAGGGTTGTTCCTAGGGCTCCAAAGGCCCCCTCGCAGAAGGCTCCGGCAGGGAGCAGCAACCGCCTTGCTGGGTACTTGGATGATTGAGGGGGAGGGTGAACTGACCTTTAAGATTGGATCTCTTATAGTCACCTTAAGGGGACCTGTAGGGGAGTGTGCGCGCGCGCAGCCTCTGATCTCTGCCTGCCTTCGCCCTTCCCCTCCTGGAACATCCCGATCCTCGTCAGACTTTGTTGTCGTGGAGCCTGCCCCTTCCGAGGCTAGTGGTTCGGACTTAGGGTCCGCTGCCAGGCGATCAAGTGCGCCACCAGAGACAAGGAACGACGTCCTTGCCTCTTTCATTCCGTTGCCTCCGAGGTGGGCTGGTCAGGCTCATCTCTTGCATTCTTCTGTCAACTCAGGTGAGGTCAGGCTGCGGAGGGCCTGGACTGCCGGTCAGTGGGCCGGGGCCGTTTTGTGTGGCAGAGTCTCCTCTCCTGCGCACTCTCCTGTGCTCAAGCTGCCCGCCAAGCATTACATCATTCTGCGTGCACCGGGCATCTCAAGCCCTCGCCTGGTCTCCTCTTCAGCGGCCTATTTTGAGATCGTGGGCAGGCCTTTCCATCCCCAGTCATTGTCACACAGCTTCGCCTCCCTCTTGGAGGTCCGGGTTTACTGCGACGCCGCGGGTGTTGCAGTGCCAGAGCAGCAATGAACCTTTTGCAAGTTCCGATTGCATCCGTGTCAGCGCCCGCCCTCCTGGTGCTTGGGTGGCCGGAAGAAGATGGCGGTCCCCCCGTTGCAGAGGCCAGTGTCATGTGCTTGATGAGGCGTCAGGAAGGGTTACTCCTTGCAGTCCCTTCGCACTTCTTCGACGAGGAGCTCCTGCAGGCCGCGCAGGTCGCACCCCCATCCGAGGTACTAGGCAGGTCCGAGTTCTTCGAGTGTTCTGCCGCAATCCTTACGGACGAGGGTCTTGTAGAGCACGGGTCCAGGATTTCGGTTTTGGTAGTAGACTGCAGCGAGGACGTCTGTGCAAGCCTTGCCCTAGCAGAGGATGCGCTCGCCCTGACAGCAGAGGCCTTCCAGCCGGAAGACCCTTCCTTGGTCCCCTTTGTCCCCAGCTTGCAGAAGGCAAAGGTAAAGGCAAAGGCGCAAACCGCCACTCAGCGCAAGATGTCTGCTGCCGTCTTGGCAGAAAGGTTGGAGACGGCGCTGTCAGCATTGCCTGCCCTGAACAGCCGCCTGGACGAGCTTGCTGAGCGGCAGGCCAGACTGGAAGGGACGGGACTGAGCCCGAACCGCCAGGCAAAGCTGCCGCTGCGCAGCCACTTAGGTTTCCCTGCGCCCTCGGCCGCCTTGCCGCCAACGCAAGCAGCTGCTGCGTCCGTGGGGCCTCCCCCCAAGACCCGGAGCCAGCTTCTGCATCAGGTCCCGATGGGAAGCAATTAGTTAGTCGAGGTCCAAGAAGCAGAGGAGCACCTAGGGAAGGAAGGAGGAGATCAGATGATGCAAGCCCTCCTGACACAGTCTGCAGCTCTCACAAGCCTAGTGGGTTGGTGCAAGGGGGGACGTCGGATCCTCTCCTGGATCTTTCGATGTCAGGATCCACCGGCGGATCGCGTGGCGCCTTAGGCAGAGCAAAGCTGCAAGGAGAGTTGGCCTCCAAAAAGGGCGTCTTCTTTACAAAGGTGATGCAGGCAGCGGCTCGCCGCCTGGACCCCACGGAAAGCAGCGAGATGGAGCCGGCGGATCTCAAAGCGAGAGGGCTCTCGATGGCGAAGTACATCGAGCGCTTCGGGGGGTATGGACAAGTGAAGAGCCTAGCTATGATACAATGGCAGGTCTGCCTCGCTCTCGACCAGGCGTTGGCTGGCAACAACGACGCCTGCCTGGACATACTCGCGTTGCTGTGTGTATGCCTCGAACAGGCTTCTTTGGACAACGGGTCCATGGATGTGGCTTACCTTTTGACGCTGCAAGAAGAGCCCCCGACAGGCATCATGAGCAACAGGAGCATGATGGCCGTGGGGGGGAGGGCCAGAGCGTTCGCTCCTTTGGCGGACCAGCGGTGGGTCACCACCTCGCTGGCGTACCTCCGCGAGCTGGATCTGATATCCCAGCGCAGGGCCGATGCACTGACAGACCCTCCGCCCGCGAGCAAGCAGGCAGCAGAAGAGGAAGGAGGGTGGAAGAAGAGAAGGCCCAAGGCGAAAGGAAAGTGGACAAAGAAGGCGGAGAGCTGAGGACGGTGCGCATTCCTGACCCCACCCCTAGCTTGGTTAATAGGGGTTTTAGACCTGAACCCGCCTTGCCTCCTAGGGGTGGTTCGCTTAGTAGTGCTTGCCTTAGCCGTGGCCCTTGTGAAGCTAGCAGGGGTCCTGCTCGCGCCTCAGCTCCGCAATTTCTGCCTGGTGACGCCATGCCGCCCTCCTTGTCAGGCCCTACCCCTAAGCGGTTTAGGAGTATGGGTCGTAGGGGTTATAAAGCTAGTTTCCCTAGCTCCCCGCCTGTGTCCTGCAGCCTGCCTTGTAAAGACTTGCAGCATTTCCCGGGCCCTGCTGTAGTTCCCGACAGGGGCCCTTCGCAGCCTTGCGCTAATACTTCATCGCTGCCTCCCCGTGGCGAACCTGCCTCTGGGGGCACTGCGTCGAGAAAGCAGCCTTTTGTTGAAGGTGAAAGTCTGGCCTTCGACCTTTCTGTACCATACCTGTCTTCACTGGCCAGCCTGCCTCGCCGCATTTTGGCATGCAAGACCAAGTTTTCGCACTTCCTCCGTGCAACTTTTCACCTGCAGAGGGGCGGCCATTCCGCGCCCTCCTCCGCGCTCTTTCCGCTCCCTGTGCCATTTCCGGGCATCTTTGATAGGAGTGGCCCGAAGTTAGCAAGGAAGCGATGCCAGAGCATCATGTCCCAAAGGTGCATCCATGTGATCGCCATGTGTCTGAATTATGTCTTCTGTGGAGGGAAATGGATTCCTTCTGCCGAACTTCGGAGACCGCCGTCTTCTTGCCAGCTTGCGGCCTTTGACCGCATAAGGCGGTTCATTAGCGCGTGTGGCTCGCAAGCCCCCCTGTTCCCCATGTGTCCGGGGCGCCGCAGCCATGAATTAGTTGCACGCATCCGTGGTCTGCACCTTTTTGCATCAACTCATGGCCCTCTTCCTGGAGGGGGTTATGGCCAAGCATCTTTTGGTCAGGCCACTGGCTCTGACATCAAAAGACCTGAGCTTCACCCCTACACCAGCCTCAATGCAGCCCGCCTCAAGCTCTCTGGATCCGCTGGCTTTTGGCCTCTACCTTTCCTGCAGCCCAATCTGATACTGCCTTTCTTGGAGCCAAAGGTCCTTCGCTTCCGTGAGGAAGAACCCGAGGAGCCCCATCCGAGCAGATGTTTCGACTCAGCCGAGGAGCTTGCTGCTCTGTTCTGCAAGTGGGACAGGCAAGGTCTGCTTGGGTTTACTTTTGAGAATCATGAGGAGTGGATGAAGGTCCGAGTGTTCAATGCGCGCAAGAACGACCTGTGCGACAGGCAGACAGGGGATAGGAGGTCCTTGGTCCGCTCCTTTGCAACCTCCTTCTGCGGCCAAAGTCTGTTTTATGTGGGGCCATAACAGACAGGCGGGACTTTTACCACCAGATCATGATCTCTCGCGAGAAGGCTGCATGCAACCCCGTTGGCCCCCGAATCTCTTGCCAGGATGCCCTTGCTTATGCTGCCGGCCGGGAGATCCTCAGTGAACGATCCCCAAAGGAGAGGGAGGCTGCAGGTGATGGTCTTTTTGAGGTCGCCAGGCAGAGCGCTCTTTCAAAGGGTGCCACACGTGACAAGCTGCCTCCCTCGGTACAACCTTGTTTTACCGCGATCCTGCAGGGGGATCACGGCGGAGTAGAATTCGCCACCAGTGCTCATGAGGGCCTACTGGTCAGCGGAGGGCTGTTGCATGAGCCGACCCGAATTCTCAACCATCACCCTTTCCCTTCGGGCAGCGAGCTCCAGGGGTTGGTAATCGACGATTATTTCGTCATTACCCAAGAGCCCGCGGAGCGGTTGAGGGAGATCGAGACCGAAGGCCCCCGTGCAAACACCCTTTGCCGAGAACGGCTTGAGCAGGCTCTCGAGGTATACAAGAAACATGGTGTCATTGGCTCCCCTGAGAAAGACGTTGCCAATGCGCTTCTGTTCACCGTCGCAGGCGCGCAAGTGGACTCCACACGGAGAGCCCTTCGCCAAGGTCTAGTTACTGCCGCCTCCCCTGCCGAGAAGCGCTGCGCGCTGAGCTGGGCAACGCTCTCTGCTGCGGCCCTGCCTGTCACTAGTAGGGGTCTCCTTGAGCGATTAGTCGGTTCTTGGGTTCACTGTATGATGTATAGGAGGCCCACCGTCTCTTGTTTCTCCAAGATCTACAAGGTCATTCACTCGGAAGAAGCGCAGGCGTTCGATCAAGACGAGATCTTCCGCTTGCCCAGGGCTGCTGCTGACGAGCTAGTTGTTGCCAGCATCCTCTCGCCGCTGATGGCCAGCAACCTTGCCGCGAAGCTGCAGCCCAGACTCTTTGCGTCTGATGCTTCGTTAGCGAAAGGGGCCATTGTCAGCACACCGCTCTCCGAAAGCGAGGCTGAGCTTCTTTGGAGGACTGCCGAGAGGAAAGGCGGCTACTCGAAGCTTGACCCCGCGCCGAGGGCCATCCTCAGAGGTCTCGGTGACCCTGAGCTCGAGGAGGATGTGCTGGCAGGTTTGTCCCCTGGACCTTCGCGGAACCCGCTTCTTCAGTTTGACTTTGTGGAGATCTGTTCCGGCTCCTCGAGAATCTCCCACTTCTGTGTGCAGGCCGGCCTGGCCGTTTGCCCGCCTCTCGACCTCGAACTCAGTAGGCAGTATGACCTCTTGAGCGCCGATGTCATTCTCTGGATCGTTGAGATGCTCCGGGAGGGCAGGCTGCTGTCTGCTTTTGTGTCGCCTCCTTGTACCACATTCAGCCCCGCTGCTCACCCGGCTCTCAGAACATATCAGGACCCATGGGGTGACCACTCGCATCCCAAAGTCAGGGTACGGAACATCTTGGCTCAGCGTGCGCTCGCTGTCATCTTCACTGCTAGGACTTACGGCAGGGGTGCAGGGGGCGAACAGCCTCGTAGATCCAAGATGGCCTGGCTTAGGATCTGGAGGTCGTTGGCGGAGCTGCCCGGGGTCGAGGAATTTTTCCTCTCCGCTTGCCAGTTCAGGCTCATAGGGGTTAACGTCGATTTTTCCAACTGCGCCAGACCCTGTCGTGGAGGACACGAGCACGTCAGGGTAGAAGGGCGGTTCACAAAAGATTCGGCCATATATCCGGAGGCCCTCGCTAGAGAGATAGCCATCTCCTTCTGTAATTTTGTCGCGGAGGCTCGCAGTGCCGCCCGTGCTGAAGCCCCTCCTTGCTCGGGACTCGAGTCCCCAATTATCAATGACTTGTTGGCTGGCAGGCAGTGGTCCGTTGATGCAGTCTGGAGGTGGAAGAGGAAGGAGCACATAAACCTTCTCGAGACCAGGGGGCTGATCACCTTGCTTAAACGACAGTCCGCGGCCGCACCTGACACCCGCCTGCTGCACCTTTTCGACTCTTCAGTGGCTCTAGAACCTGTGCTAAGGGTCGCTCCTCCAGCCACCGCCTGAAGGCACTGTTGGGTCAGGTTTGTGCACTTACTCTCGCTAGCGGCGCCTACTTCGGGGAGAACTTTGCTCCGACCAGATTAAACACCGCAGACGACCCCACCCGCGACGTTGAAATCAGGTCCCCGTGTCCTTGCTCCTTTATCGGCTGCCGCCCCAGCTCCGCCTGCCGCTTGCCTGTGTGCGCCTAAAGCGCTTTGCTGCAAACTGGCTTCGCCTTGCCATCCTCCTCGCCTTTTGCCATCAGGCAGATGCCTCTGAGCCCGAGCACGACATGCCTTTCTTCGCCTGGAGTGACACCCAGTGCGAGCCTTTCTTCATTTCTCCCCCGAGGGCAAAGGACGCGCCCTACAGCCTTCCAAGGCCCGCCTCGTGCTTCATATCTGGATTTCTCCTTGCCTTCGCCCTCTCGGGACTTCTCTGGGCGACCCTTCACCTCCTTGGACTTCTGACTCAGCCTTGCCGATGGACTTGCCAGAGCACGTTCCGCAGATGCGCCCGTCACCCCTATATTTCCCCTTCACCTAGGTTGTTCCCTTTAATCTTCAGGGTTGGGGTTGTTGCCTTTTTGAGCCATGGAAGCCTTGCCGCGCCTTCTCCAGCTTACAACAGGAAAGCTCTGGAAAGGGCTGAGCTTATCCTGAGTCCTGGGAGAGGAGTTCTCCCGAAGACTGATTCAAACAGGCAGATCCGGCTGGAAGAGGTCGTCTCCGCCAACGGACTCGACGCTGAGTGTGTGAACCGCTTGGTCATTGACTTCGGGCAGTTCTTGTTTAGGAACGGGCGACCTTATGGCCACTTCTCAGAGCTGATCAATGCCATCTCCTCGGTTAGGCCTATCCTGCGGAAGCAGTTAGGTGGGGCCTGGGACCTCGCTTACAATTGGCTCGCGCTTGAACCTCATGTTCACCACATAGCATTGCCGGGCCTGGTGTTGATCGCTATGGTAACGACGTGTCTGGTTTGGGGCTGGACCCGGGAAGCTGGGCTTTTTGCGCTAATGTGGGGAGGGCTCTGCAGACCAGGCGAGGTTATTACCGCTTGCAGGAAACACCTCGTCCTACCTGCTGATGTGCTTGGTTCGCAGGTTTTTGCGCTTCTGAGGATAGAGGAGCCGAAGACCAGGAAGAGAGCTGCGCGGCATCAGGCAGCAAAGGTCGACCTGCCGGACCTCTTGGAGGTCATCACCATTGCCTTTGCGGGTCTAGAACCGGCGCAGCGGCTATGGCCATACTCAGGCCAAACCTTAAGGTCTCGTTTTCAGAAGGTCTGCGAGACTTTGGGGCTGCCTGATGGAAAAAGGCAGGGCAAGAAAGGTCTGGAGTTAGGGTCATTCCGACCTGGAGGTGCGACGTGGTTGCTGCAAAACACAGAAAATCCAGATTTGGTAAGGAGGCGGGGCAGATGGTTAAGCCCCAGAATTATGGACATCTATCTCCAGGAAGTTGAGGCGGCCACCTTCCTAACGGAGCAATCTATGGATGTCAGAGCAAGAGTCCATTACGTTGCCTCCACCTTCCCTGCAGTTCTGCAAAAGATTTCTCTCTGGCACAGAGCGAAAATCCCGGCTACTACGTGGTACTGGCTTTGCTCGAGCAACCGAGAGGAACGTCGAGCGGGAGATGCGGGAAAAGTGGGTAACATTTCAAGCTTTGGGCAGCCCAAGAAGAGCGTGCAGCCGAACCGGCTGACGCATGCTCTCCGTACCAAACCCCTGGCGCAGGTGAAAACCAGTGCGAGTGACTGAATGCTAGTCACGAACACATGTGTCACCGTCAAGATTTGGTTGCTCCCGCCCGGCCCGCCCGGGTAACATTTCAAGCTTTGGGCAGCCCAAGAAGAGCGTGCAGCCGAACCGGCTGACGCATGCTCTCCGTACCAAACCCCTGGCGCAGGTGAAAACCAGTGCGAGTGACTATATAATCCCCATTGTAGTAGTTTCCATTTGATTTTCCATTATCCCAATATATCCCATATATAATATACCCCTATATAATC